ATATATATTTTTTTTGTTTTGGCTCTATAAATGAGGAGACACTACTCTCCATTTAACCATCACCAAACTTATAATTCCTCTTTTCAAAACACAAGCAAAGGCAGATCAAAAAAGAAGAAGAAAAATTATGGAGATTGGAGCAAACAACAATAATGGAGGAGGGTTTCATGGCTACCACAAACTCCCACAGACAAGAAGCTCTGGTAAAAAAATATATTTGACTATATATATATATGTGTTTGATCTTGTTTCAGGGAGATGCTACGATCCCGTTATGGAATTATTCCGTTAGAATTTGTAACCGTTGAATCAACTATTTTTCCAACAGTTACGTGATATCCAACGGGTAACAAATCCACGGAATAGTTCCGTAATGAGAGTGTAGCATTTCTCCTCGTTTCATATGAATTAACAGTACATGCATCTCATCATCATGATCCTCATCTTCATTTGCATGCTTATAATGAAGTCGTAACTGCAATTTTTATCTTTTTTTTTTTTATTTATTTAATTTTATTTAAAAGAAATTGCTGTGAAAAAAGACAAAAATAAAAAACTAAACAAGTGGCAAACATGCAATATTTGGACCCCACACACACAACACAATTTTTTATGTTATTTATTTTATTCCACAGGGCTTATAATTCATTTTCTATCAATATATAATTAATTTGTAATTAATTAATTTTTTTTTTTAATTTTTTTTTTTTTCCTTTTTCCCTGTAAGCACCATTCTGTGCTCCTAAAGCTATTTACATGTTTTTTTTTCCCCTTTCAGTATATATGTAAAGGAGTGACATTTATTACCATACTTTAATTAAAAGTAAGTACTCTCTGATGAATCTCTGTCTAAAAAAAATACGTACTTTATTTAGTTTTCAGATGTCGGAATCTTAGATGACCAAATATGTTGTTCCTTAATTATTTATTATTTATTCATTTCTAAATTATTTTAGGAAAATGATAAGGTCATGTTACGAAATCATTCCGTCGAAATTTATAGCTTTAGATAATCATGTAACCGTCAGATATAATTTATCTAACGGTTAAAATGGTTTCGTAAGAACATAGCATCCTCATTGTAATTGTCTTTGTAATTTATCAAGGTCTAAGTAAATAATTATTTTTTTTTGGTGGGTTTTACAAATTCAAGAATATTAGGGACTAAGGAGCAAAATTTTAAAAGACGCCAACAAACTGAAACAGCTCTGTTGCTTTCTTCTGCTTTTTCACGTTTCACCAATACTTTTGTCCCACTGTTTTTTTAGTATTAACGTTTTCATAAAATGTAGTAATTAGTTGATATCAGTAATAATTATTATACAATAACAGTATAATATAATTATAGTACAGTCCTGATACATTAGTGTACGGTAGATAATTCACAGTTAAAACACGCCGACGTACCCAAGAGCGCTTGGATGAGATGACTTGGGTCTCTTCCAGCTTAATCAGTGGTCTTGAGTTCGAGCCCTGGGAATGCAGCAGTGTTAAAACTCTTGAGGGAGAGTTTTGGCGCCCTTGTGGTCCTACCCGGCTCGATTCCGGATTAGTCGGTTCCCCTGTGGATCTGAAAACCGGAAGATCCCTGTACCAAAAAAAAACACGCCGACGAAATCATTTCGTGACGAGATTGTATCCCTTTTTATTAGTTATACTTAATTATTACAAAATGTAAGTATTTTACTATAATATATTGAAAAAATGGACTGGAAAATTTTGTCGTTTTCATTAATTTGATAGACTGAAACTGTATACACGTATAATTTCAATTTTGTCATCATGTGCAGAGGGGAAAAGGGCACCACAACCACCACCGGCGACCGCCATGGGCCTCCTGCCGCCGCAGCCTCCGGCCGGTGGTGGCGACGAGTGCACGGTGCGCGAGCAAGACCGGTTCATGCCCATCGCAAACGTGATACGCATCATGCGCCGGATCCTTCCCCCGCACGCCAAGATATCCGACGACGCAAAGGAGACGATCCAGGAATGCGTGTCGGAGTACATAAGCTTCATCACCAGCGAGGCCAACGACCGGTGCCAGCGAGAGCAGCGCAAGACCATCACGGCCGAGGACGTCCTCTGGGCCATGTCCAAGCTCGGTTTCGACGACTACATCGAGCCCCTCACCGTATACCTCCACCGCTACCGTGAGCTCGACGGAGCTGACCGCGGCGGATCCTTCCCTCTACCTCTCGTCAAACGGGGCCCACCAGACCAACACCCGGGATTCCACCCTCAACCGATGCCCTTCCACCATGGCTTCTTTGGAGGCCCGCCCGTGAGCTTTGGCTTCTTCAAGGAAAACGGGAGCGTTGGGCCGTCATCACAGGCGGCAGAGTTTAAGGAGCACAACAAGTTGTGAAGTTGACAGTGAGGGAGAGGGATTGAAGAGTTACTCTAGCAACTATTATGGCTTTAAAGACTTGCTTTGCTTTTTTCTTTTCCTTTTTTCTATGCTTTTTCTTTGTAATTTTAAAATTCAATGAGTAATCCTCTTCTGGAATTGAGTTTTTGTGTGGTATAGTATTCATAAAAGTAGCATATGTGTTGCTATAAGGATTTTTCTTAAACATGCAAAGTTATCATATTAAGAACATAATGCAATGAGAATAGATTCATGAACACAAGGTGAACAACTCAAATTCTACAAATCAGAATTTTGAAAGAAGATTTAGGACATGGATCCTTTATTTTAACAGTATCAACTATTAACCAAGAAATTATTAAATTTAAGTTTTCTTCTTTTTTTGGATCGGTAAATGGTAAATATATAAATATATAGATAAAAAATGGCGTTACATCGACCGTCGAATGGAAAACAAAAGGCCAAGTGGGCAACAACAAGCTCGGTTCCTCACTCGCTACCCAAAATAATGAGAGGCAAGCCACAGGTCAGCTCAAACCCAATCGTGACCATATATCAAAACGACTTTCCTCTCAAACTCGGCATGTACATTTGAAAACACCGCGAATGTTGTACGATAAATACGGGTTTTAATCTTACGTACCTCAAGGAGGTTTAGCCTAGCCATTTCCGAGGGCATTTCTCTCCACTTCGGCAAGGACATTCGGGTACAAAGCAAAGATATTCCGGTAGACGTGAGTTTGGATTTTCCGTATGATGAGCTCCGGTGATTGGACTTCATTTTCAAATATCTTCCTATTCCGAGCATTCCAAAGAAATTTAAGTTTTCTACTTCAATGTGTTCTGTTCTCTTCAAATTTAAAAACAAAAAAAATGGGGGAAAAAAAGGCCAAAAACTATGTTTCAATGCACTGCCTTTTCACCTTCTGGTCCTCTAATCTATCACTACACTGTTTTCATTGTCCAGCCTTCCTACGTCTGGACCATCGTCTTCTTTATCGGGTCTTTTCCTCAAAGGAATAACCTGAAAGCACGAGCTTTTCCAGTCTCTTGTTTCCAAGAACTTGAGCAGTATCTCCACAACTTGGTTTACTGTTAGGACCTTCATGCATGTACACAAAAGTAAGATAAAGCAATTATATGGAAAATCATAGGACCAAGGGTTTATTTATATCACAGAGGGAAGATTTTTCTACATAATGCTTCAAATTAAACCTAGCAACTATTTTATTCCAAGTTCGATAAGAAAGCTCAAAACGGAATACAAAATCGGAAGTAAAAGGAAAAAAACCTGAGAACTCGACATCTTCAGATAAGCTCCAATCGGCAGTTTGGCAGTTCTTATCCCTTGCTCTATTGCTTTCTTCATGGTAATGCCTTTCCACCGATTCCTATCTACCAAACCACCGATAATATATACTTCTTTCGGATCAAGTTCATCAAGGACATTTTCGGAATCAGCTGTTAGATACACCAAGTTTTCCTTCTGATCTTTGAATGCCTCTACATAGGATTGTTCCTCCTTTTCAATTAACCACTTATCAAATCCAGTGATCTGTAGAAGCTGATTTTGCACCTCTCCCAGGCAGCCCGTCAGCCAAATGTGGGCCGGCACAGCACATTTTCCATTTATCGCATAGCAGTACATGACCTGCAAGTCATGTTCATAGCAAATGACTTAATCTGAAGCTAAAAAAAGATGATGTATAATCGAGCTCAACAAGTTCAGCGTCATTAAATATAAGCCCATAGGTCATAGTCATTAACCAATCATCCGACCAATCTCAAAAGTCACAATATCTCAAATTTACTTGCGTGTACAAGTCATAGTCCTGTTACCACTTGGGGTTACTGGCAAGTCAAGTTTTTCGAACTTTTTATGTAAATCGGTGGCATCATAAGTGGCCACTGCATGGAGCAGTTGTCAAAACAATCCTTGTGTAAACAGAATCAGGTGGAAAACTCTGTGTTCTGCATCACAAGTAGCAGGTAGAATCTAGGAAAACTGGAAACGCTGCAATCTTGAAACAACAACGGAGCATCTATACAATGAAAAGTATCTTTGCCGGTAACACTGGTGAATTGCTGAATCTTACAGAGTAGTAAAGTCTTACCATATTTTCCTAAGAACAGAGGAAATATACAAGCTATCTTGAGTACTTAGGAAGTGAAACTGAACTTTCTGTATAATAATCTCATCCCATTACTTCTCTTAGATTCGAAAAGGTAATATCACTTATAAGCTAATACCCAAGAATAGTGCTATCATTGGTAAAGATAGTTGTGCTAGATAACTATCCTATCCGCCATCGGCATTATTACAGTCCGAAAAGTACTATACTTAGGGTACAATTTTCAAACCATCTTGGTTTAAGTAAACGAACACCAAGAACCCGACTTTCTAGAATACTCGGTACGCTACATTTTCTGTTATTAACATCCAACAGAACCCAAATTACATGAACTATGTAGTGTAGAGAATCTTTAGAGACCCATACATCTGCTTGGTACCAACTGAAAATATGATACTCATATGGGTCTGTTTATACTTAGATAAAGGAATAGCGTACTGTAAGAAAATTCAAACCCACTGCTCACTTCAAGCATGAAATTCAACTGCAATGCACGGGAACACATAAAGATCTCAACTTTGCGGTTCGAAAACGCATCCACATTCAAGAATTTCACCAGCCAAGCACAGACAATAACAAAACTGACCATGAATGTAAAATGACGCTTACATTTAAAAGGAAAAAAACGGAGAACGGAGAACGTTCGAGTAAAAGGAACCTGCTGAACGAGGCTTTGCAGCTCATTGGGGCTCATGAGATGGACGAATTCGAGATCAATGACGAGGTTCTGGCCGTTGGCCCTCGCTTCCTGCAACCTCTCCATCTTCTTCCCTTTCTCCTCCGTCAACTTCTCCAAGTGCTCTTTCCTCCGCCTTCGCCTCTCCTCGGTCAGCCGCTCTCTCTCCGCCTCCCCGACGCTCGCCAGTCTCTCCTCCCACTCCTTCCGCTTCTGCTCCGCCTCCCTCTTCTTGTGCTCCTTCATCTTAGATTTTTTCTCCGCCTTCTTCAGCTCGAACCGCTGCTGCTTGAGCAGCCGCCTCTGGGCGTTTTTCGACATAGGTACGGCGGCTGCGGCGGCGGTTTGGGTGGTTTTGTCATTTTCCGGTGATTCCATCGTCGTTACTGTCTGCCGGGAATAAATCCGAGGGATGGCCCCAAAATAGCGCGTCACTTTCACTGGACGGTGTAGGGAGAAACGATGCCGGGATAGGGTCTCCCAGTTTTGCCACATAACCAATTAAATGGACGACGACGAAGTGGAGCACCAACAAAACATACGGTGTATATTGTTTCTTTAAAAAACAAATGAAATTGAACTAAATGAAGTCCTCTATGAGTAGACATGGCCATCTAACCATCACGCCACGGATTTTGAATCGGCTCGTGGTTTTACCTAATCGCTTCAGATTTATGTATACAACAAATTTTAAAATTGATTTTATATTATTTTTAATTTTTTTATCATTTTTATTATTTGTCAGTTCAGTCCGAAATCAGTTGGTCGATTCCAACTCGCATAAAATGCAAACTTTAACCAAATATTCCGAACCAAAATATCGAAAATAATTGGGTGGATAGAAATTGAAGCTAACAAACATGGGTAAGTAAAACGATGAATCCATCTTGTCCATGATCTTGTTGAACTTAGGACACGTGTGCTGTTAAATTAAACGAGTTTGGGCTCGACTCGACTTAATAGCTCAAACTCAAAGTCTTAACGAGTCGAACTCGAGCTCATTTAAAACTTGTTTTGTGGCTCGGCTCATTTAAACTTGATAAAGATAATATTTATATAATTTTTTTATAATTCGGCACACTAAAGTTCGAAATCGACGTTAAAGCTCAAGCTCGAACTCGATTTCTTGCTCCTTTAATTACCAAGCCGAGCCGTTAACGGCTCGAGCTCGACTCCGCCTAAACACATCTCGCGATTTACTTCCCGAAATAATCGAGGGTCAACAACAAAAATCCAAGAACAAAAATCCAAGAATGATAGACTTAAATATGGGACCGCATGGGTTTAGAAAAAAATAAAAATAAAAAAATAGATAAACTATAATCATTGAAAAAAACAAAAATATTTATCCAAACCTAGAAAGTATCAACTAAAAACACATACGGAGCCGTGCTACTACACGTGTACCTGGCACACCTAGCAAGGTGTGTCAACCTAGTGTACAACTAAGTTGACAACACAAGTGTAAGCATCCACTTGTGTATTTTTTTATTTTTAATTTTATGAGTGTTTACACTTGTGTTGTCAACCTAGTTGTACTGGTTATGTAGCATTACTCTAACATTGCGCTTTTCTATGCACTTCCATGATCGCCAAGCCATCTCGAGTAGAGATAAGTTATCGGAAGCACAACTGTGTTTTGTTTTGCTCGACGAATCTCAGGTACTTTTGTAGCTTAAGAAATTTTGATACGACTCGACCATCTTATTCTATTTGCAGTACGATCCTTGATGCTTTCGATGAATTATGTTCATTTTTTTGCAGACTTGCAAATGGCTTCAGTTGTAGATGATTCTATTAAAGCTCGAGGTGATCATTCTTCTATGGAAATTGTCTGTTCATGAATTAGTTCCCTCATAAGGAAATGAAAATTGTTTCAATTTTGGGTCTATCTACAAATCGTCTTACTGTGTTTCGTAGTCTGTTTTATTTTGCTTTCTGCGAGCTACGGATAAACCCAACTTTGTTTTGCATTACATAAGCTTCTATAATTGAAATTGATGAAAGCGAATGAATTCCCACTCAGATGTGTGCATTGTTGGTGTTGCAAGAACACCAATGGGCAGCTTCCTTGGTTCCCTTTCGTCTTTGCCTGCCACAAAGCTTGGCTCTATAGCAATTGATTGTAAGAGCAAGTTTTGATCGCGTATTGTATCACGAATACATGATGGCCGGAGTATGTTCTGTCCTTTCTAACTTATTTGCATTATGTTTGAAGCTGCTCTTAAGAGGGCGGGTGTACATCCATCTCTGGTGCAAGAAGTCTTTTTCGGCAATGTTCTTAGTGCGAATTTAGGCCAAGCCCCTGCCAGGCAGGCTGCACTGGGTGCGGGTGTACCTCATAGTGTGGTTTGTACCACAATTAACAAAGTATGTTCATCTGGCATGAAAGGTTGGTTGGTGTAATTGTATTTCGCAGGTTTTTTTTTTGTGTTTGAAAGAACTTGCAGTGATGCATTTCTGTATAAGCAGCCACGATGATTGCTGCCCAAACAATAAAGTTAGGCGATAACGATGTAGTGGTGGTTGGTGGCATGGAAAGCATGTCCAATGCTCCAAAATATATCCCGACAGGAAGGTTGGCATTATGGCTATGTTTTGCTTTTTAACTAGTTAGTTCCCTTCTGGCTTCTAACATGATATTTGATTAGTTAATGTTTATTTATTGAGAAAATGTTCTCGTCTTTCTATTTAAAAAGTCACCAGTGAAAAACCTTGATCCTCATTGTTACTGGCATGCCTTCTTTAACAGGACAGGGTCTCGATTAGGACATGATACTATTGTTGATGGCATGCTCAAAGATGGGCTTTGGGATGTGTATAATGATTTTGGAATGGGTGTTTGTGCTGAATTATGTGCTGATCAACACAACATATCTAGAGAAGAACAGGTAATGTCTCACAATGCTGAGTTATCTTTGTTTATTTTTCCTTTCTTTTAACTCTCATTTTATTCTTCTAGGAACTATCAGAACTGGCGGAGTAATGTCTATAATATTGTAATCCAAATGTTCTGTGGTTTAACAGATTACAAGTAACTATATGCACAATTTTTTTTTTAATTCTTTCCACTGTATCTCCTTTCGTCTTAATCTAGATTCCCTTTTTATATACTCTATTGTTGTAGGGTAGTATAAAAACCACGGTGGTTTTGTTTATTTTTTATGATAGATATTTGTTTGAGAATATTTCCTATTACTGTGTCAGGTACATTTTACTTATTTTATGTTCAAGAAACTTGAGACGCCACCCTGACAGCCTTAATAATTACTATAATTGTTTCTGCAGTTTTACTTTAATTTTCTCTTGATGTGGATGTTGTAATGTCCTTTGAGAAATTTCCAATTATCTTAACTTGTCTTTCACTACATCACTTGTTACTCATTAACTCATGCATACCCTTTCTGTGTTGTCGTGGATGCAAGATCTCGGTTGTACAAAGAGTAGAATCACGTATAACCGAACATCTTCGCCTGTGCCTGTCTCTTTTATGCATTGGCTGTAATAGTTATTATTTTTTAATTTTCTCATTTTTCATGTCCACTGTAAATATGTTTAGTGTTTCCAACTTGTTTTTATGTGTAAATTTGTAGGATGCTTATGCTATTAAAAGTTTTGAACGGGGTCTTGCTGCAGAATCCAGTGGTGCATTCTCATGGGAGATAGTTCCGGTGATTGGCGTTCATTTTCTTTTTCTCCTTTTTGTTTTCGAAAGAATAATTAGCTGTCTTTGTTTTCTTAGAATGACAGATTATGTTTATACCTTCAGGTCGAAATATCTGGTGGCAGGGGGAAGCAATCTACCTTTATTGACAAAGATGATAGTTTAGCAAAGGTGAATCATAAATTTGGATGTCTCAAGTTTCGTGCTTTTCTGTGTCTTGAGCCTCTTGGCTACAGAATATGAAGATTTTAGAATCATAAATTCCTGTCCTGTCTCATAACACTTACATTGTACTTGTTTGTTTCTAGTTTGATGCATCAAAGTTAAGAAAGCTCAGGCCAAGTTTCAAGGAAAATGGAGGTTCTGTAACTGCAGGAAATGCTTCTAGTATAAGGTTCAGTAAATTCACTTATAATTGTTTCTATTTGCACAAATTATAATTAACACACACATCGTGTGTATATATATATATATATGTGTGTGTGTGTGTGTGTGTGTGCGCTTTCTGGGCACCACATTTGACAGACTACTCATTGAGGATATAGGTGAAGCTGACTTGTGACGTTTTGAGTCCCCACTTTCTTACATTAGTGTGACTGTGGTTGAATGAGTTCTTTCCAGATATGTCATAGCCGAATGACTAAGAAAAAATTCATTTGAGCTTGAGTTTGTATCTGCTTTTATTATGGATTTGTGGTCTATAAAGTCATTTGTCCTCAGTTCTCATTTGTATGTACTATGTTTGTTGAAAATGTTGGGAAAAGAATGCTACTACCCACTTATTTGACAGAATAGGCTATCAACAACTAAAATGGGCATTATTCGACTAAGTTGTTATTGTGTGTAGTGATGGGGCTGCTGCTTTAGTTCTCGTTAGTGGAGCTATGGCAATTAAGCTTGGATTGAATGTAATTGCCAGGATCAAAGGCTATGCGGACGCAGCACAGGTGGCATGCTAATTTGTAATTTCATTTATTATACATTTTCTATTGGGTATATACTAACCTCAGGCTGGGGTTACAGGTATCCTCGACCTATTTTGAATTAACAATTGTTGTTCTTTTCTAAGTCACTTTTGCCTGCATTTTGCGAGACTTGGTTTACGGATACTATTATTGTTTGGCAGGCACCTGAGCTGTTCACAACTGCTCCAGCCATCGCCATACCAAAGGCAATCGCTAATGCTGGCTTGAAAGCATCCGATATTGATTTCTATGAAATAAATGAAGCTTTCTCCGTGAGAATCTATACTCTGAATTCTCTTTAAACAGTTTATCGGTAATCTTTCTAATATCAACCTTTTGCAGGTTGTAGCTCTTGCTAACAAGAGGCTGCTTAATATTGACCCCGTATGTTGTGCTGTTTGCTGCCCCCATCTCATTTGATCTGTCAGATCAATTAAACTGTTCTTTTCACTTTTTGTGCCAATTTTTAACTTGAAGATCTTTTTGATCTTACTACTCTAGAAAAGGTTAAATGTGCATGGCGGTGCCGTGTCCCTAGGACATCCTCTGGGCTGTAGTGGGGCTCGCATCTTGGTGACACTATTAGGAGTGAGCACTTGGCTTTTCTAAATTTCTGTCCACATCCTTTATTCTCATGTGAAGTGTATTCTTTTTTTCGTTCTCTTATGCATAAGTGGCTATTTTAGGTGCTGAGACACAGCAATGGGAAGTTTGGTGTAGCTGGGATATGCAATGGTGGAGGAGGTGCATCTTCTCTTGTTCTTGAGCTCATTAACCATCGGTGAGATTCACAAGTTCCCCAAAATCTAACGGAACTTTTTTACATTTGTTTTATATATTTGTTTACTAATTGTTTGGAATGCCCCCAATGAACGAGTGAACGTGTTCCATTGAGATAAGGCCTTATGTTTTTGTGTTGACATGCAGGCCTGTGGGAAAGGTGGCACGTTCAATGCTATGAGGTCATTAGGTCCGTGTTGTACTGATAATTTAAAGTTGCCCGTCCGGTCACATACGCATTTTATCAGCTTTTACTCTTTCACATTATCTCAATTCTCTGGAGAGCCGTTTTCCCTTGTGATGAGAGTTTTTTTGGTGCTGGAAAAATGTACTGTATGCCCTTTTGTTGTGATGAGCCTTTTTTGTGACGAAATGTACTGTAAACATATTTGTATCTTTGTTGTGATATAGTTTTTTTGTGATGAAATGTACTGTAAACGCATCTATATTTTGCTTCTTAATATTATTGACATTTCAAATATCAGGCATACATCAAATATCAAATAAGATATATATGATTTAGACCTTACTTTTAGGAGAAACCTAAACAAATGTCTTCAATCAAGAATACCAAAAGCTCAAGAGATTACGTAAATTAAAATCTTAACCAATGCACGA